GGTAATAATAAGTGGTTCAAATTAAAAAAAAAAAAAAAAATTCTTGTCTTTAATAATTCTGATTTCAATTAGTATGGTTCTTTGCATCCCAATTAGGTGTATACTTGGGAAGAATTGGAACGTGCATTTCATAAGTATTTCTATAATCTACTACCTGAAGTGACTATTACAGGCTTAACTAACTTACGGAAAAGAGCAGATGAACTAGTGGAGCAAATTTTAGAGCGACTCTGGTGGGCGAAAAGTTGATGTCAAGTCCATATTTTGGAGAACCAAGTGGTCAATATTGCTATTGACAATATGCACTTTACCCTCCCAGAAAAACTAACCTTGCATGAGTATCATGATTTGAGGTGATTATCGTCCAAGGTAGTCAAAGCAAAGTAGATTCTCAAAGACACAGTGGCTGCTCGTAATCAGAGGTACCACGCGGGTGCCATTGTTTTAGGTCCAAGATAATCCCAACCTCGAGGTTTTTAGGGAGAAAACCTGCTTGCCGGAACTTGTGCAGGGAATATCCTATACTTGCCTAGCATTGCAGCAATTTCGGAGGAAAAAAGCTAGTCCAAAGCTACACTACTCATTTGACATCGCTAAAGCAGATCAGATCTTTGAGTACCTATTGCGGGACAATCAATAGACTTAAAGAACGGAAAAAATTTCTGTTTGAAGAAAAGTTGGAAGGAAAATGGCATGGCATTTACGAACATCGGGTGAAAAACTGCATAGAATTGTGTACTATTGTCCAGAAAGCTATTGAAAATAGACATCTCAAATTGGCAGATAAACCGGATATTAATATAGACACAAACCCTCTCCAAGCTCTAATCAATTTGGTTGATGTGTGTTCGGACCAATCTCGTCCCAATGCGCCAAAATTATAGAGGAAAATATGGAAATGGCTAAGGAGAGTGTTCGGATCTCTGAGAAGAATTTTTGTTTGGGATAGACTTACACCACACATTACAGTGACAGAAGTGAGTTTTTACAAGGATGGAAAAGTGTGGAGAGTCACTTCGATGGAGCAATGGTGATGAATCTGTAGCCTATACACGTCTGGAAACCAATGCAAAAATTTGTAGAAACCCCTAACCAAGATGCAAAAGCGGCGGATACAGAGCCAATGATGGGTGGAACGAGAAATCATACAACAAGTAGAGATTACTTGTAGTAATACCATGTGGGAAAACTTTGGTAGAAATCACAACTTGCCGAAAGAATATTTACAACACTTCTTGCGGAAAAGGCAAAAGAGTGGTGGCCCAAGTGTATTTGGGCTGAAGATTTTATTCCAAGCGGACCTGGGAAAATCTGTCATAAGTTTTTTGGAAGCAATATCTCTGAAAATCAACCAGGGAACAGAACCTTGGAAGAAGATTACGAGTTCTAGGCTAATTTCACGGTCATCGTGACATATGAGGATATTGAGAGAGCTATAGAATACCACAAAGATTTTGCAGTGAACATGATTAGGCTCTTGCCAAAGGAGTTCGAAGCATCTCACACTGAGTCGCAGCTTTTGGAGAGAAATGTGATGATAGAAGGATCTAGCCCTATCCCATGGGCTAATGACCTGATTGACATAGGGGAAACGAAGTAGAATGATGTAATTTAAGAAACCTATTGAGAAAGTAACCCGACACTTAAAGCCATTTTTCTTCACTATTGCCTTAAATGGGCGGACAGTGAGTAAGGTGTTGGTGGATGACGGAGCTTTTGTCAATATTATAACATATTACATTCTCAAGAAGATTGGGAAGTCCAAGAATTAACTGATTCCGACAATCATGAGGAAACAAATTTTACGGGCAATGCTCACAAGGTTGCCAGAGTCGTTATGGAAGATGTCACCATTTACAACAAGAATGATAGGATGACGTTATTCATGATAAAAGAAAAGTTAGCTTAGTTCTCCATAGTGGTCATGACTGGATCCATACATCACAATCTGTGCCTTCAACTCTCCATTAGAATATTATGCTTTGGAATGGAGATAGGGTGGAAACTGTGGAAGAGAAAGAGGATCCGCTCGTGGAGGTACATGCTTTGGAAAACATCTATTATTTTTCAAACGTGTTTCATTTGTCAATGATGATACGAGATTATGATAGTTAGGGAAAGTGCAACCTTGCCATCTGAGAATTTGATGTTCGTATGAAGGCCAATCCACAGTTTGATTTCATGGAAGAATACGATGGTTAATGACTTCAAATTATCCACAAGTGTAACGACCGGCTGAAAAATGTGTCTTACCAAGAGAAAGAACAAGCTACAGAAAATCTGTTGGAGGTCAAACAATACTTGATGATGTTCCGTCTTCTAGCGATAATCCGGATGACAAATTTGATTCTATCCATTTGAATGATGGTTCTAATTTTCTTTCCAAAATAAAAAAAAATAATAATAAACAAAAAGGTGGAAAAGCTTTTGAAGACCAATTTCATCCGAACCTATAGGTAACCCAAATGAAACTCAAACATTGTACTTGTTATTAAAAAAAATAGGAGAGGTGTTTATAGACTTTAGGAACCTAAATATAGCAACCCCTAAAGATAAGTATGTAATGTTGGTAGCGTATATGTTGGTTGATATTACACCGGATACAAAATTTTATCTTTTATAGATAGATATTCTGTCTACAAAGAGATTTACATTGTTGAAAAAGAAACACACAAGATATATTTCTGTTGTCCGGGAGCCATTCGTATTTTTTAGTGGATATTGATGCATTTCGGACTAAAAATTCCAGGGCAACTTACCAGCGTGCTATGAATGACATCTTCCATGACTTGATCGAAAGTTCTATAGAGATGTACATAGATGGTGTGGTGGTCAATTCCATATCCTTCAAGGAGAACTTGGCGAACCTGTGGGTGAGGCAGCATGAACTGAAGATGAATACTACCAAGTGCGTCATTGATGTTCAAGCATGAAACTTCCTTTGGCGCCAATGATGGACCAACAACAAAAATCCCGCTTGACCAATGCGTGAAATTGAACAAAAATCAGGGTGATAGTATAGCTTAAGTGGAATACACAAGGATAATTGGAAATCTTCTTATTGAACTGTACTTATCTTGATCTTGCATACTCAGTAAGAAAACTAAGTAGGTACACTAGCAATCTGAGTAAGGATTATTGGACAACTATTATAAGAGTTTTGAGGTATTTAAAACATACTCATAATCTTAGGCTATGTTATCCGGAATATCCTTTAGTGCTTGAGAGATACTCTGATGCCAATTAGATATTGGATTAAAGTGACTTATTTTTCATGAGTGGATATGTGTTTACAATCGGAGGAGGTGTTTTATCGTGGAAATTGATTAAGGAGCCATGTATAGCCTGATCCTCCATGGAATCCGAGTTCATCGCCTTAAAGAATGCAGGGGAGGAAACAGAATGGCTTCGACAACTACTACGGAAGATTTCATGTTGAAAGAAACATGTACCTACAGTAACTATACATTGTGACAGTCTTGTGGCAATTAGAAAGGCATATAATATAATGTACAATGGTAAGTCACTACATATCCGTCATCGACACTATACCTTGCGAGAATTGATCTCACTCGAAGTAATCTCTTTAGACTACATGGAGTCTAAGGATCAACTAACAGATCCGTTAACCAAAAAATTAAACCAAGATCAATTTTTTAAGTTTCCTAGATGAATGAGTATGAAAAATAACCTAAAAACGACAGTAGTGGACACCCAACCATAATGAGTGAAGATCCCACAAACTTGGTTCAATGTGAAAACCAAGCTACACAAGTTTACGTTGCAACACTCAGAAGACACGTCCACTATTCTTTAAGAAAAAAAAATGAGGAGCAGCGAGTGTTGATACTCTTGTCAGCGGTGAAAGACAAGTGTTGAGTTGTTAATAACTATCTACCAATCATAGGTAAAGTACGATAGGTTACTCTTGGGACGTCACCTACAGAAGTACAAAGTGAGGGCTGCTTCAAGTAAAGCACTTGTAAAGACAAAGGTATTTTTTATGGTCCGATATGGAAACAAACGTGAAAACAAGCGGGAGGTGATGTATTATTGTTTCAATAATATTGTCTAGATGTATGTGGCAGAATAATTCAGTATTCAACATAGATTGATATTGATTCACATTACATTTTATATATTTTTATTATATAACTTTCTAGATTCTCAAACAAAATTTGTTACTTTATGCATCAAATTATTATTTAAAATAAAATCTAAAATTTTAAAATAATAATAATAATAAATAAAAGCAAAATGAACACCCCATAGATATTTTATGTTGTATACGAACTGACATGAAATAAAAAATTATTATTATTTTTTTATATTTTGGGTAATGTAAAAATCCACGACCGTTATTCTTCAAGTGCGCTCTGGGTAAATTCCCAAGCTTAATAGCGAACAAATTAGACTCGATAAAGGAAATCACACTAAACGAATCATATGCGACAGGTAAGACCCGAACGCGTCGGAGGTTTGAACACAATTTATTTGCAACAACGTTTGTATAAGTTTTTACATCATATTTTTCAACTTTATGAAAAGAAAAACTTAACCGAAAGTTTTTTTTTTCCGGGGGTTTCTTTTTTAAACTGAAAATATTATGTCTAAATTTATCCTTACTATTTTGAAACTCTTGGCATTTATATACGATTTAATATGCTAACCTTAATAAAAATTTAATTGGAAAACTTGCAAGGTAAGGATATAAATGCACATATATAGTTTGACCAAGAACTCAAAATTAAATTTTCCGTTGCACTTGATTTTCAATCCAGTTTCCCCCAAAATGCAAAATTAGGAAATAACCTCAAAACATTTGACTGATTATAACGTTGCAATGATCAATTACAAAAACCCTAAACCCTAAACACATATACATACACATCTATATATATATATACACACATGTTTAAATTCATAATCAAAACAACTGTTGCTGTTCTTCACAAGTAGCAAGCACTGTGTATATTCCGATCTGAGATTCATCCAATCCAATGGACAGAAGAAAGCGATCCCGGGGGCGGCAGAAGATCGCGATCCAGCGGATATCGAAATCCAGCGACTGCTTCGCGACGTTTTCGAAGAGGAGGTTGGGGCTGTTCAGCAAGGCGAGCGAGCTGGCGACCCTGTGTGGCGTTGACGTCGGCGTCGTCGTCTACTCCCCGACAGGGAGGCCTTCCTCCTTCTTTCACCCGACAATGGAGTCTGTGCTGACTCGCGTGGGGTGGTGGGGTGGGGGAGGTGATGACACGTCGCGGCTGCTGGAGGCGTGCGCAAGGAGCAGAGGGCGGCAGCTAGCCCGAATGCTGGACGGGCTCGGCCGGGAGGTGCGGGCGGAGGAGGAGCGGGAGAAGCGGCTGGGGGAGGAAAGTGGGGGGCGGTGGTGGTGGGAGGAAGGGGGGGGAGGGATTAGGGTTTGGCTGGAGGAATTGAAGGCGAGGTTGGAGGAAGAGATCAATGTCAGATCACGTGATCGGATGCTCCGCGTGCATTATCTTGACGACGACGACGAGGAAGAAGAAGCTTGACATTAGTTGTTGGGGTTTTTACATAAAATATATATATATCAAATTAAATAATTATTTTTTTAGTTTTATATTATACTATAAATTTATTTAAATTCAAAATATTATATTAATCTCTATTTATATTGTATCAAATAACTATTCAAATTCAATTTTTTACTATTTATAAATCCAAACTTAAAACCCCAAACCCCTGAACAACCACACCAATATTAAAAAATAATCTTAAATTTAAGACATCATGGACATAACGAACTTGACGTGGTAGCTGACTTGTAAACAACACGATCATGTATAATTATATATTGAAATTGTTTGAAATTGTATTGAAATATAAAATTAATTTTTAATGTAATACAAAAAAATAAAAAATAAAATAAAATAGTTGTGCAATTGAATATTTGTAAGATGCAATTTTTTATAAATAGTAGGCAAAAAATCTTTCAAAAGAATATGCCCGATAAATTTTTATATTTGAACTAAAACTGATACATTTTAAATATATTAGAATTACTATGAATTTTTTTCATTTTAACTATATCAACTATTGTAAATTCAAAATATTTTTTTTGAAAAATATATAACAAAAAAATAAAGTTTTTAGACCAAAACAGGTACACAGCCGTGTAGAATTAAATATGACCGTGTGACAACGTGGCCGTGTATAATCATACACTGAATTATATACGGCTATGTGACAACGTGACCGTGTATAATTATACACTGAATTATATATGGCTATGTGACAATATGGCCGTGTATAATTATACATGGTCGTATTGTTTTCAGGATACCTTTATGTCTACGTCTGCAATTTCTGTTTGTTTTTTAATTGTACGACAAAAATTGATTGAAATTGTTTATAATAAGACTAAAATTGATGAGTTTATTTATATTGAAATCAAAATTGATATATTTTGGTTATATTGAGACCAATTTTTTTTTTTTTTTTTCTATTCTATAAACACTTCTTAAATTATATATTTCAATAGTTACATTTATTTATAAATATGCCACAACTACTTATATATTCAATATAAATGTCCAGGTCAAATTAGCACAAATTCCATGAGACGGATGAAGCATTTAGAAAAGCAAAAAAATAAAGAAATCAATTCATGACAACCCTTTCTTTTTCAATACACTTGTCCATATAGTTACAAACTGATCATTTGAATCGCTAATTTTTATTTTCATTTATTTCATTTTTTCAATTGAATTGAAACCATAAACAAAATGTAACTAAAATTTGTTAGAATACTAAAAAAAAATGTATATTGAAATATATGAAAAAAAAATGTATATTGAAATATATGAAAAAAAAATGTATATTGAAATATAGGAAAAAAAAATATATATATAGTACTTTCTTTGTTCGGGATAATTATGCCACTTTTTTTTGTTGTTCGTTAAACTTATACATAATCCATTTACAGTAAATAATTTTATCCGTCTACAATTTCATTACATATGCTTTAACATATAATAATCAATTTGCGACTATTTTTCTAATTATCTCACTATTTTATTATTAACTCTTTAATAATTTTTTTATAATACTCTAATTCTACATTTTTATTACTTCACTCTTACATTAAAATACTATTATTTGTTATTCTCCATGCCCAAAAATATTGTGGCATAATCAGCCCGGATGGAGGAAGTACAATATATCTCAAACCTTCCGTCATTGCAATAGTAGTGTATAAAAATAAGTTGTTCTTTTACAATTTCAAATCCAAATTAGCATTATTTATTCGATAAAGTTTTCAATAAAAATACATTATTATTTTTTTCACAAAATATCACATCAAAATACTATTTAAACAAAACCTCAAAACACCTTATTTCAAATCAATTTTAAACCACCACCAAACTTTAGATCTTTTTATTGTAATAATATGCGAACAATATGATCAGTATGTCAACTTTTTGTTCCAAATTCTTGCTCTATGAATTCGATGGTGCAGTTTTTAAATATATAGTAGTGTCACAGATTAACTTCAATTCGTCGAAATAATTGTGCACTCCTTAGCAACCCACTCCGTCGGCTACTAAAGCAGACTTTCCAACTCGGCCAAGCACCCAAAAAAGCCAAAGGCTTTTTAGAGAAATAAACAACTAGAGAGAGAATGTGAAAAATAAACTTATAAATATTTTGATTGTAATGCTTGAATGATACAAATAAGAGGGGTGGATGTCCTTTCATAAGCAAAGGACTTCACAAAACTATCCTAAAATGTACAACAATCAAAGTCATATGTACAAAGGTTTAAAATATTCTATAGCACCTTCCAAAATGATTCCAGAATAGCCAGAGAATATTTCAAATTTAGAACATTCCTCCAAATTTGAGTGAACTACTTTGCACAAGCAAAAATCTTAAGTATGAAAAAACCAACGTACCGCAAATAACTCGAAGCTTGATCATAACAATAGGGCTATTAATCTGTTTGATTATGGTATTTAAATGAATTCGTACATCATGAATTTGGTTAATAAATCAAATGATAATATTTGATAATGTATTTGTTATATATGGATAATGGACAACAAATCTTTGATTTTGTTTTGGATTGTTATTCAAAAAATTGGAATCATATTTGATTGTTACCAAATTTAATTAATTATGCCAAACAAAGCTATCATTCTCTCACTAGATCCATTTGAATTTCAGTCCACAATCATAATGAATAAAACATGTTAATTCTAGGTCATTTTGAATATTTTTTTTAAAAAAACAAATTAATGTTTACATAATCATACGAAAAAATATCAAATTTATAATGAGTTTTTATCAATGATAAATGTACATAAATGAAACTGCATCATGGAACCATGTTCCATGCATACTACATAATCCTTAAACTTCTTACATAGCATAACTTCAATTAAGAATTGACAATCATCAACTATATATACAACTTCTTAAACTTGGCATGACCACTTTGTTCTTTTTAAGATATCTTTTTATGATCAAGTACTCGATGTTGATAAATTATTCCTAACCATAAATAACGCAAAAAAAATATAAAAAAATCACATTTTACAACTTGATTGACCTAGAAAAGTAGTCAACAATCAAGATAGTCTGAAAATAAATTTAGTCTAGTTTTTATACATGAGTATGAAATTATTTATGTTTTGAAGGTATCCAATTATTATTGTTATTATTATTATTATTATTACATTTTTTTTGGTAGTCAATACATGAATTAACGTAATATTTCCTTGAAACTTCAATAGAATAGACAGAGTCAACCTCGTGGAAACATACATGAAGTTTTTAGCAATTTAAACATAAGAAATATTTTTTATATGTTCTCTCTTAAAGTTATTATTTTAGCATTGACTCAAATTTAATCTATCATTTTTCACAATGAGAATTGAACTTGGTGAGTTGTTTGTTCATGTTAAACATTTTTAGAACTTTTTAAATACGCCTATTGAGACAAATCCTTTTTTATTTATTTATTTATATTCCTTTGGATTTTAATGTTAATAAAAGGATTTATAACTTATTACATAAAAATCACATGAAGTAAATATGCAAGTGTCAAAATCGGCTTGGGAACCTAAGTACGCTCAAAATTTATGTGAAATATTATATGATCAAAATTTTTGTCTCAATGATGCAATCAACGGTTCCATGGACCAAGAAACATATTTGCATTTGAAAAGTGTAACATCACCAGCAAAGTTGAAAAATTAATTAAATATGCATAACTACAAACTACCATTCTACATCACATTCATCACACAAGACAAGGCATACATAGTAGCATCGGCATCCATAAATGCATAGGTTTTGACCTAGCACCGACTCATTAATACATAAAAGTTGGCCTAGTACCAGACAAACTCATTCTCATCAAGTGAATTACCTAACATCAGCTCATCCATAAGAATTAGCTTAGCTAATCCAACTAATTATCATTAATCGGATAACTTAACAGTACCTCATCAATACATAGAAGCTAACATGCCACTATACCAACTCATTATCATCAATCAAATGGCCTAGTACCAATTGTCCTAAAACCTACCTAACTTAATCATAATCTTGGCTTATCAATATTGAGTGGTACTCTTTAATCCAATCAATCAACAAGAGCTACCCTAGCATCGGCTTGACCTATCAATTACGCAAGAGTTGACCTAGTATCAGCTCAACTCATTTTTCAATTAATCGATGACTCAACATTGGCTCATCAATATATAGAAGTTGATCTAATAGAGACCCAACTCAATCATCATCTTAACATTAGCTCATAACCGGATTATCAATACAAGTGGTTAGCCTAGCCCCAGTCTAACCCAATCAATCAATATGAGGTAGACTAGCATCGGCATCGTCCAATCATACAATCAATAGTTGACCTAGCACCAGCTCACCCATTTATCACATTAGATAGTCCAGCATCGGCATTGCCCAATTATTCAATCCAGAATTAGCCTAGAACCGGCTTAAACATCCATCACATTAACTAACCTATCACTAGCCTTGTTAATTTATAAATTAACAACGAAGCATAACATAGAAAATAATCAACATATGCACATAATAACATTGCAAGACCCCTCAATTCATATCAATTCAACTATGCATAAACAACATGTTCATCGAGTTCTCGTATCACTTCACATCAATATATAACCATTCTTATAGCCTATCAATCAGGTGACAATCACAGGCCTCATCGAACGTGTGACCATGATTTCACAACCCAAGATGCGGACTCGAGGGAACATAATGGAGCTCCGGGCAATCTTAAAATTGAATTTGGAATGAAGAAAAATGATGTCCTAGCTTTCAAAATCACCTACACACTGTTGGAACTCAACAACGAGGAATATTAGGGGTTGTAGGGGTTTATTTTTCGTCAAAATAAGCAAAACATGCTTTTAAAAAATATTTGACCGATGTTTGTTCATAGAACCCCTGCGGGACCTGAATAGTAAAATATTGTCCGGGTTATAAGTCACTTTTCCAACCTTCGATT